GGCTTGATGATCTTAAAGGTCTTTTTCCAGCCAAAACGGTCCTAGGATTCTGTGAAATCTTGCGGTGCTGGTGCAGCGTGGGGAGCAGGCAGTGCTGCCGGCTCCCGGGGCGTGCTGTGAGCACCCAGAGCCTTGGCTCCTCCACCCGAACGGCTGCGTGAAGCTGCTGTTGTGGAGACAGGGAAAGGAAAGGGAGGGAAAACAGACTTGTCTCCATGATGAGGGAGGAGAAGTTCGGGAAAACACGACTCTCAAGTGACATATCTTGAACGGGAATAAACCTAGTACACAGCTTTATTATTCTATTATCAGTGAATTGTGAAGTGTTCTTGCTTTATCTGAGGGGAGCTTTGAGCTCCAGGAGAGAAGAGGAACCTGCTCCCTGGGCGAAGCTGCCCGCGGCTTGGCCACAGCCACAGGCCTCTTCCCAAGAGCTCTTACTTTCTTCTAGCTCAAGTTTTCACCCACAGGCAGTGCTTCTTGCCAATGAGCTGTAATTTTCCTTGTCCTGGAGCACCCCGAGTAACGTGGCCTTCTCTCTGGCCCTTCCTGGGAAACCAGCCCCAAACAGCCATAATGAAGCAGATGCTGATTGAGCAGAGAGCCCAGCTCCACGTCATAGAGCAGCAGAAGCAGCAGTTTCTACGAGAGCAAAGGCAGCAGCAGCAGCAGCAGATCCTGGCAGAGCAGGTACAGTATCTGTCTGTCTCAGTCACTGTGTTAGACGCTGGTTTGGGAGCAGCAATGCTAGAGAGAGAGCAACACTAGCCCTTCTTTCTATGGTTGGTAATGCTCTCCCCATGGCTTGCCTCGTGGTATTTCAGCCGTGGTTATCAAAGAAGAGGCAGCTGTCTCAGTCCTACCATTAGCTTGGAAAATATTACCCATGTTCCCAGCAGTGTGCTTGACAGTCACACGGGATTTTAGACACTTTGCTCTTAGCCTGGTATCTCACAGTGCGCTTACTCTGGCAGAAGCAGACTCTGCTACAGTTCCAGGTCCCCTCCTCTACCTCTGACTGGTCTTGCACTGGCAAAAGCAGGGTACAGCTGTGCAGTGATCTGGGACAAAGAATTGGCATGGGTTAGAAGTAACTTACAAAAGAAAAAAGTTAGTATTTACCCAGATAAGTTCCTTAATCTGGTTTATTACTTACCAGTATGAGCAATTTTGTTGGCACAAGGGAGAGGCAGAATGAAGGGGGAGAAGCTGAAGCGGGAGAACAGTAAAGCAGCTCTTGGAGCAGCAGTGTGGAACTGCTGCACCGGTGCCTGTCACTGGGCTTCCCAATATCAGTGTTAAGTGACCCGGGCTGAATGCTGATTTTTATGCATGTTTAACTCAGCTGTAGTTTAAAAACAATCCAGGAGAAAGCCAGTGGAATGTCATACTGTTCAGTTCCTATGAGCTTCTACCCAAGCTGAGACTTGCAGTCCTGCAAGGCTATCTTGAACATGTTCTAATGGGTCAGTGCTTGCTTCACCTCTCTTGCTGAAGAAATACAATGTAAGACCTGGGCTCTGCTTTAATTTGAGTTGGAACTTGTGCATGTTGTATAACCACAGAAATACTGATAGCCTTCCTTTCTCCTCGTGGCCCTCTTGAGAACTGGAAAAATGTACCTGCAATGAACAGGGAGGGTGCTCCAAGAAATCTGAAGGGTAAAGATGCATAAATTGGTTCAGAGGTGAACAAGTGCAGTGTTATGCGCCTAACAAGGTTTCCTGTATCTTTTGATAGTTTATAACAGAAATTTATGAACACAGGGATTAGTACTTCCTTCATTCCTGCCTTTGCCATTGTTTTACCTTCTTTACACGTTGTTGGTTTTGGGCACAGCATTTTTACAGCTTCAGCTGAAGCACTAAGACATGTCCTTTTAGTAATTGCTTGGTCAAGTATACTCTGGGCCTTGAAAGCTCTTGTAAACACACACTTTGTTTTTGTAAGCAGCCCTTGATTCTGTTTTTGATGCCTGAGTATTAATAGAAAATAACCACAGAGGAGCAGTGTGGGCTGGATCAAGGGAGGGAGGCATTTTGCAATCACCTGCTCTCCAAATACTTCATTGGGGCACAAGAAGAAAT